TGTCAGGCATTTCACAGATTTCCTTCTGATCAGGATCTATTTCTGGAGAACTGTTGTGTTCTTTTGCTTCTTCATGTTTCCCTACATGTACATCTAGCATAATGGTCCTTTTTTTGTGTAATAGGTTTTGTTGAAAAAGACTTTTTTGTTTAGATGGAATGTGTGGAGTGTCACTTGGATTGTTGATCTGGCTTTTGTTCTTGGTGATCCCAGAAATGTAGCTTCAGTGATTTCATCAGTGGTAATTGGTGTCTACAGTGCCTACGAGTGCCACAGTTGTCTAGTCTGTAGCAATTTTTAGAGATAGTAGTATGACTTTGAGAGTGGATGTGAGCTTCCAAATAGCTATGTCTTTAATCCCCCAAAGAGCTGGGTGTCAGTCACATTAGGGTTTGTGATGACTGTAGCCAAGTTTTGGTGTTGTGGGACACAGAGAGTGCTGTTGGAAAGGTGGGTGTATCAGTGGATACAGAGTTTCTCTTTTGGATGATGGAATGTTCTGGGTATAGTAGTGATGGTTGTGTAATATTGTGAATATAGTTAATGTGACCAAATTGCCTGCTTATGATAGTTTTGGGTAATATACATTTTACTCCAATAAAAAGAACTTGTGAAGAGGAAGGATATTAGAATGCACAGACAGGAACTCTGTGTATCTGTCCCTGTTATATCTCACATACTCACCCCTTAAAAATTATCAAAATCAGTTTTTCAAATGTCTAGAAATTAACCAAAGGCATGCAACAATATAAGACGTGAATATTCAAAGAAAACTGAATAACCTTGGTAAGATTAGTGGGGTTGGCGCATTATAACTCAAAAACTCTCCTCACCTTCATTGTCCTTGAGAGTTAATGTTTCCTGCATTTGCTCGATGTTGTAAATTGTCAGTTCTTATTAAAACAAAGGTTCTCAAGCCAATCACAGTGGAAATTATGACTAGGAGGCACTGGTGAATCTGTATGTCTAACAAGTGCTCCACATAATTGTTAGAATCAGAAAACAATGGGAAGTACTGCTTTGGAAGAGGGTAGAAAGTTGTAGCCACATGGCCACCTGATACTATACTTGATGTCACTTCAGGGACTTCTGAGTAGTTACTCTCTTAAGAGATACTGGATGTTATGAGCATATTCCCCATCTTAACCTTGGACTCCTCTGATTGGCTTCATTGTCATTTAGGAGGGATACATACCATGAAAAAAAAATCTGAAAAGCTATGATGACTATACCTGGGCCATACAGTATAGTCCAAAATTGAAGAGTAGTGGTTTTCCTTTCTGAATTTTTATTTATGGAGGCAAATCCCTAAGTGAAAGAGCAACAGCAAGTTGGGTTCTGCTTCTCACATGAAATGACACTGTTTCAGGGCTTTCTAAAAGCTTCAGGACAAATTTGGTGCATTAGCTGGTTATAGCAGCAATAGAAAAGTAACACAGGTAGAATCAAGGAAGACATTTTTAATAATAAAGGAAACATTTTTTTAAATGTAGGAAAGTATAGCATGATACAAAGCTTTCATAAATGTTTAAGTCGAAACAGGACACAAAAAGAAAGTTAGTGCTTGCCAAAAGCAATTTAAAAATTAAATTTTAAAGGTACTACAGACAATGTAGCTAAAATAGGTCAAGTCAGGGAGGGCCTTGTGGCATGGTGAACTGGGCCAACACTTGGGATGCCTGCATCCATTATTGGAGTGCCAGTTCAAGTCACAGCTACTCTGCTTCTGATCCAGCTTCCTACAGTGTGGCTGGTATGCCATGAATGATGGCGAAATTGCTTGCATCCCTGCCACTCATATGGGAGACATGGAGTTCCAGGCTCCTGGCTTTGGCCTGGCCTTGTCCCAGATGTTCCATGTATCTGGGGAATGAACAAGCAGAAGACAGATCTCTCTGCCTCTCCCTCTCTGTCACTCTGCTTTTCAAACAAATAAATCTTTAAACATAAATAAATTTAATAACTCAAATATCTAGTAATGTTATCAAATATTTTTCACATAGAAAACCATAAAACAGTGATATGAGAAAAAAACAATCTAGTAGATAAACTATGTTCATGAATTGGGAGTCTGAATATTGTAAAAATGCCAGTTTCCTCCAAATCAATTTATTCCTTCAATACTATTATCATAGGTGTTTTGTGGAAGTTGATAGTATTATTCTAACATATATATGGAAATAATATGATATAGACAAGACGCTCTTATAAAAGAACAAGAAGGTTGTTCTACACTGTGGCATAGTGGGCTAAGCCTCCACTTGCAGCGCTGGCATCCCATATAGGCACCAGTTCATGTCCTGGCTGTTCCTCTTCTGATCCAACTCTCTGCTGGTAGCCTGAGAAGGCAATGGAAGATGGCCCAAGTGCTTGGGCCACTCATGTGGGAGACCAGGAGGAGGCTCCTGACTCCTGGCCCAGTTCTAGCCATTGCAGCCATTTGGGGAGTGAACTAGCAGATGGAAATCCTCTCTTTCTCTCTCTCTCTCTCTCTCTCTCCCCTCCCCCCCTCCCCCTCTCCATCTCTCTCTCTCTTCTCTCTTCTCTCTCTCTCAGTAGCTCTGTGTCTCAAATAAATGAATAAATCATTTAAAAAAAATGAACAAGAAGGTAGGCTTGTTCTACAGATTACAAGCTTACTATGAAGCCTCAGTAATTAAGGCAGGTTTGTGGTATGGCAAAGATAGACAAATAGCCCAATAGAACAAAGAGCCCAGAAACAGCCCCATGTAGTTATGGATACTTGATTTATGAAAGAGCAGAAGAAGAAAAAAGCTATACTTTTAACTCAAGGTAGATTGATTCAAATAAATTGAAGACCTAGTTGTGACAGTCAAAACAATAATACTATTAGATGACAATAGAGGAAACATCCTGATAATCTTGAAGTTTGCAAAGATTTCTTAAATAGAATCCAAAAAGCACTAACCACAAAGAAATAGTTATATGAATTGGACTACCTTAAAATTAAGTGTTCTGTTCAACAAGATACACCATTAAAAGTATGAAAAGGCAAGCCACAATAAAAGAGATATTTCAACTCAGAGGTTGACAAAGGGCTTATATCTATAAATAAAATACAAATTAAAAACACCATAAGCTTGCTCTGCAAACACTCCAGAAAGGTTAAAAACGTCATCAATACAAAGAGTTTGTGAGGATGTAGAACAATGAGATTTCTCTTATACAGCTGGTGGGAATGTACACTGACATAATTCCTTAGGGAAAAGAGGTTGATGTTACAGATACACTTAGACTTAGAAATTCTACTTCTTTTTTTTTTTTAAGATTTATTTATTTAAGAGGCAGAAGCAGAGACAAAAGAAAGAGAGACTGGTGTTCCATCTGCTGGTTTACTCCCCAAATAGCTGCAATGGCTGGAGCTGAGCCAATCCAAAGCCAAGAGCCAGGAGCTTCTTCCAGATCTCCCAAGTACTTGGGCCACCTCTGCTGCTTCCCCAGGCACATTAATAGGGAGCTGGATAGGAAGTGGAGCAGCAGGGACTTGAACCACAAACTGAAAATAAGATGAAAATGAAATCCTGCAGTCATGTCTTGGTGTCCAAGGGGGTTGGTTCCAGGACCACTTCTTATACAAAATGGTATAGCATTTGTATATAACCTGTGCATATCCTTTTTGTATTTTAAATAGTTTCTAAATTACTTGTAATAATTAACACTGTGAATTTTATATGAATAATTGTATTTTTAGGGAATAATGATAAGAAAAAGTATCTGTACATGTTCAGTACAGATGCCCTTTTTTTCTAACTATTCCTTGGCCTGTAGTTGATTGAAGCCATAAATGTGGAACTCCTGGAATTGGAGGGGGATGATTCTATTTGTCTGCAGCAAAGTGGATAGACACTGGTGTGTTCATACAATTGGGATACTATATAGCAATCAATATGAACCAAGCTGTGGTTACACGTGTAACATCTGCACACACATTGTTAAGCATTTTTAGCCAGACCAAAATATGTATTGTGTAATTCCATTCACACACAAGTCCCAACCACAGTGTCTGATGATCAAAATGTACACAGAAAGGCTGATTTTAAAAATATAAAGAAAACAAAGAGTTTCCCATGTTAGTCAGGAACCTGGCTTGCTGACTACCTGAATCAGAACCATATGCCCAAACCTACTAAAACATAATCATTGGGGTTGGGCACAGAAGTCTGCATTTTAAAAATTAATACTCTCAGATGATTCTATTGTTATTATAGATTAGGAGAACAACGATGTATGATTGCCTCCCAGAGCCTGTCTCAGAGACGGTTAGGGCTGGTTTGCGGTCTGGCTGCATGTTTAATGAAGGCATTTTAGGACTCTCTAGGCTGACATTAATTTTACTCTGCCCCTATCTCACATACATAGTTCCAGGCTCTAAAACAATTGCCACCATCTGTCATTCTCAAGGCGTTGATGCCTTTGTCCATTCCACACAAAATAATCTGTGCTTCCCAACAAACTTGTGCTTTCTCGGAGTGTTATATCTGGAGTCACACAAAAGGGAAACTGAGATAGAAATGTGTTTCAAAGGATAGACACCACATCTGTGAGTCCCCAAGTTCCTCCACTGCTATTAAGTTTTATTTGGAAACCAGAATAATTACTGTAATCTTTCTTATTTCATTCATAACACTTATTTTGAAAACAACTCCCTGGAGAAACACTCATAAAGCTTGTTGAAATAATTATAAACTTAATGTTTGAGCTTTTCATGCACAGAAGTTGAAATGTTACCCTTTTATGGCAAATTAGAGAACAAACAAATTACTGAAGACAATGAAAAAATCCAACTTGAGTTGTTTTAGTGGGATGGTGGGGATATGGTTGAGAGTGTGGAAAGAGGGAAAGAGAAGAAGCAAAATTTAAGAAGCAAAATGAGAAGATAAGCAAAAAAAAAAAAAAAAAAAAAAAAAACCTCCTTTAATTTCATAGGTTGCATGGAATTTAAAAGCCATGAACTAATTTCTTCTACTTGTTTTCTTTAGCTTGTCATCACCAAGAAGTTCTACCAGCAGTCCTGCACTCGGCCTCCCTGGCACCCAGGAGGCTACCAATGTTAAAGGTAAGCTTTTCTGGACATTGCCCTTTTGCCCAGGTTCTGTGTATGTTGCTTTTAGGTTCTTTTTCATCCCAGCATTACTGCAGTATGACTGACAAATAAAACCTATATATATTTAAGTGGGTACAACATGATATTTGATATGAGTATGCAATATAAAATGATTAGGATGATCAAGCTAGTTAACACATCAGTCATCTCATACTTACCTTCTGGGGTGTGTGTGTGTATGTGTGTGTGTGAGAAGTGAGAACACTTGAGGTCTGCTTTCAGGTCTACAATAGATTTTCATTATCCCTAGTTATCACTAGTTACCAGGTCCTACAATAGGTCTCTAGAACTTACTCATCTCATAACTGGAAGCTTACATACCCTGACCAACATTTCCTATTTACCTCACTCCAGTGTCCCTGATCCCCACCATTCTACCCTCTGCATAAATTTGACTCTATCTTTTTTTTTTTTTTTTAAAGATTTACTTATTTGAAAGATGGAGTTCAGAGAGAGAGAGATCTTCACTGACTCACTCCCCAAATTGCTGCAATGGCCAGAGCTGAGCTGATCTGAAGCCAGGAGCCAGGAGCCAGGAGCTTTTTCCTGGTCTCCCACATGGGTATAGGGGCCCAAGGACTTGGGCCATCTTCCACTGCTTTCCCAGGCCATAGCAGAGAGCTAGATCGGAAGTGGAGCTGCTGGGACTCGAACTAGCACCCATATGGGATGCCAGCACTACAGGCCAGGGCTTTAACCCACTACGCTACAGTGCCAGCCCCAATAAGTTTGACTTAAAAGAAGATTTATTTATTTATTTTAAAGGCAGAGTTACAGAAAGTGGAGGAGAGATGGCAGGGGGTGGGGATCTTCCATCTGCTGGTTCACTCCCCAAGTGGCTAAAACAGCTGAGGCTGGCCAGGCTGAAACCAGGAGCCTGAGTCTGGGACTCCCACATGGATGCAAGAGCCCAGGCACTTAGACCATCTTCTGCTGCTTTCCCAGGTGCATTACCAGGGAGCTGGATCAGAAGTGGGGCAGCTGGGACTCGAACCAGCACCCACATGGGATGCTGGCGATGCAGATGGCAGCTTCACCTGCGCCCCAACACCCACCCCATAAGTTTGACTTTATTAAGAGTTCACATAAGAGAGATCTTCAGGCTTGCCCCCAAATGGTAGAGTTAGAAATGTGCCGGGGTCGGGGGGCCGGCGCTGTGGATCACTAGGCTAATCCTTCGCCTGTGGCACCGGCACCCCAGGTTCTAGTCCTGGTTGGGGCGCCAGATTCTGTCCCGGTTGCTCCTCTTCCAGTCCAGCTCTCTGCTGTGGCCCAGGAAGGCACTGGAGCATGGCCCAAGTGCTTGGGCCCTGCGCCCGCATGGGAGACCAGGAGGAAGCACCTGGCTCCTGGCTTCGGATTGGCCCAGTGCGCTGGCTGCAACGCACCAGCCATAGCGGCCACTTGGGGGGTGAACCAATGGAAAAAGGAAGACCTTTCTCTGTCTCTCTCTCTCTCTCCCCCCCTGTCTAACTCTGCCTGTCAAAAAAAAAAAAAAAAAGTGCCAGGGGAATCCTATTCAATCCCATCGAGGTGGCATGTACCAATGCCATCTCACTAGTCCAGGTGATTAATTTCAGTTCACAATTGACCGTAATGATAGGTCTAAGAGTCAAAGGGATCACATAGACAAGACTAGCATCTGCTAATACTAACTGATAGAATAAAAAAGGGAGAGAACGATCCAACATGGGAAGCAGGATACACAGCAGACTCATAGAATGGCAGATGTCCTAGGCCTCAGAATCAGCCCTTAAGGCATTTGGATCTGGCTGAAGAGCCCATGAGAGTATTTTAGGCATGGAAAGCCAAGACACTCTGGCCAAAAAAAAAAAAAACAACAATATACATAGTCCTAAATGAAAGATCTCTGCGAGTGAGATCCCAGTAGAAAGAATGGGCCATCAAAGAAGGAGGTACCTTTCTCTGAAGGGAGGAGAGAACTTCCACTTTGACTATGACCCTGTCGGAATAAGATCGAAGTTGGGGAACTCAAAAAGCTTCCATAGCCTTGGCAACTCATGACAAAAGCCTAGGGTGATTACTGACGCCATAAACAAGAGTGTCAATTGTTAAGTCAACAGCAGGAGTCACTGTGCACTTACTCCTCATGGAGGATCTCTGTCCTTAATGTGTTGTACAATGTGAATTAATACTATAACTAGTACTCAAACAGTATTTTACAGTTTATGTTTCTGTGTGGGTGCAAAGTGTTGACATCTTTACTTAATATATACTAAATTGATTTTCTGTATATAAAGATAATTGAAAATGAATCTTGATGCAAATGGAATGGGAGAGGGAGCGGTAGATGGTAGGGTTGTGGGTGGGAGGGAAGTTATGGGGGGGAAAAGCCATTGTAATCCATAAACTGTACTTTGGAAATTTATATTTATTAAATAAAAGTTTAAAAAAGAGAGATCTTCAAAGAGTTCATAGAGAATATATATTATGAAAACTATGTATGAATTCTAAAATTTTGGCATTAAAATAAGCTCATACCAAATTGTTACAAATGTCTGAACATAATCCAGTTTGAAGCACGAAGAAGGATAAGATATCAATTTGAAAAGAGCCCCTATCAGTGCAACATAAAATTCTGCTACAAATTAAGGGAAAATAAATAATCAAATTTATAATGGAACTTATGTGGAATAATGATGAAATCATTGATGCTTGATGAAAGTTGATTAACATAATGCTTCAAAGAAATCATCAGTTTACAAAGGAATAACTTGTTTTAAGAAGGGAGAGATGATGTTGAACATGAATCCCACAGTGGCAAACTATCCACATCAATTTGGGAGGAAAAATTCATCTTGCTTGTGCCCTAATTGAACAGGACTGCTTATTAAAGCAGAAATAATATCCAGTGCTGTATATATCTGCATTGGTTTGGCTTACTTAATTCTGACAGAAAAATTAAAGTTGAGCAAATTTTCTGCTTGATGGGTGATAAAACCCAAATCAGCTGCACCCAGATCAGCTGCAGACAAGAGCAGAGATTTCAATGGAGATTTTCAAAAAGCAGGTTGAAGATTCTGAAGGATTTGTTTGAGAAACTAGAGTAGGAGAGGAAACATGGCTTTCCCAATACAATCCTGAAGACAACACAAAATCAAAGCAGTGGATACCAAGAGGTATGAAATGGTCCAATCAAAGCAAAAACGGACCAGTCAGGAGCAAAGGTCAAGGGCAACAGTTTTGGGGGGATATTCAAGGCATTTTGCCTATTGACTTTCTAGGGGCTAAAGGATTTATCTATAAATCCTTTATAAAAGAAGTGTTCTGAGAAACACTTCTTTATAAAAGAAGTATAAAAGAAGTGTTTTGAGAAAGTTTGGCAAAATTTTAGCAGAAAACTTCACTGAAGAGTTCTTCTCCAGAACAGTAGTGCGCTTGTTCATTCCACTCATAAAATGAGGGGAACTTTGTGAGAGTCTCTACCTTCCAGTCCTGATTTTGATCTTTCCAGCTTCTTTTATCTTAAAAAAAATCTTCAAAGGGTGCCCATTTTCCTTCAGTTGGTAATGTACAAGTGCTGCATTGCCATGGTTAAATTACCAGGATACTCATTATTTGGGGATGGACTAAATGGTTGGTATCATCACTTACAAAAGTATCTTGAACTTGATCTTGATGCAGGCTATGTTGAGAAACAAATTCATGGTTTTTTTGTTTTGTTTTGTTTTGTTTTTTGTTTTTTAATTTGACAGGCAGAGTTAGATAGTGAGAGAGAGAGACAGAGAGAAAGGTCTTCCGTTGGTTCACCTCCCAAATGGCTGCCACGGCTGGTGCACTGTGCCGATCTGAAGCCAGGAGCCAGGTGCTTCCTCCCAGTCTCCCATGCGGGTGCAGGGCCCAAGCACCTGGCCATCCTCCACTGCCTTCCTGGGCCTCAGCAGAGAGCTGGACTGGAAGAGGAGCAATTGGGACTAGAACCCGGCGCCCATATGGGATGCTGGCACCGCAGGTGGAGGATTAACCAAGTGAGCCACAGTGCTGGCCCCCAAATTCATGTTTTTAAAATTTTTTCATTCCATTTTTTTTTTCACAAACTGCTTAAATTCCCCTAATGTAAGTAAAATCATACAGTATTACTCTTTCTGTGCCTGGCTAATTTTAGTTCACACAATGTCTATCAGGCTTATTTATGCCACACGTGTTAAGATTTTTTTTAAAGATTTATTTATTTGAAAGATAGAGTTATTGCAAGGCAGAGGCAGAGAGAGAGAGAGAGGGAGGGAGGGAGGGAGAGGGAGAGAGGTCTTCCATCCACTGGTTCACTCCCCAGATGGCCACAACAGCTGTAGCTGCACCAATCTGAAGCCAGGAGCCAGGAGCTTCTTCAGGTCCTCCATATGGATGCAGGGGCCCAAGGACTTGGGCCATCTTCTACTGCTTTTCCAGGCTATAGCAGAGAGCTGGATCAGAAGTGGAGCAGCTGGGACTTGAACTGAAGCCCATATGGGATGCTGGCACTGCTCGCTGCAGCTTTATCCACTTGCCACAGTGCTGGTCCCAAGATTTTTTTAAAGACTGAATAATATCTCATTTGATATGTATAATACATTTTTCTGTATCAGGTCATTATGTTGTTCCCATATTCGGCTATTGTGAATAATGCTGCAATGAACATGAGGGTACAGGCATCTTTCAAAACCTTGCATACATACCAGAAGTAGAATAAATGCATCAAAGCCAACAAAATATAAAAGGCATTCAGCATCACTAATCACCAGGGAAATGCAAATAAAAAGTGCAGTGAGATATCACTCACACGTGGTCATGAATGGGCCAGGGCCAAAGCCGGGAGCCAGGAACAAAATCCAGGTCTCCCACATGGGTAGCAGGAGCCCAATTACTTTTTATTTCCATGTCTTTCTTGAACACCTTATTTTCTTCATGGGTTGTTTTCTTGATCTTATTGTTCATGCTCTCTTATAGTTTGC